AACCTTTAATATGTTCGTGTCTATAAAATTAGACTCGCAAACACAGCTGTCGTTTGTCCTCACTCACTTTGTGCCTTCTTCAAAGGACATTGCACTGGAGGAAACAAAGGCCTCACCAAAATATTTCTCAGAGTATTAAGAATAAATACTGTTAATTTCTCAACCAACTACTACATACAGAATGTATTTACATTTCATTTCAGTTGTCGCATCACGAATTACGATATGACAGAAGAAGGTTCTCGCTCAATGCAAGAATTTTTAGCTATCAAAAACTTTTCCATTACCTACGAGACAAATAGGAGCCCGTTTCGTCCTACCTTCCTACCGATAACTATTGTCGCATTGACGTAATATTTCATAGATTCCATATCAAAAAATTATCGTACAACACGAAAACAATTATAAAACCGACCTTTAATCACAAAACATATCACGCATGACTGGCCATCGTTGAAAATCAGCAAATAAATTGATTATTTAGGTAATCTATGGTTTATCGTTCAACACCTTTTTAAAATTAGTAACTGTAATGATAAAAGTTTTCTGTATTGTAACAAACAAGATTGAAGCTTTCACATGATGACTGCATGTAAGTCTAGGTAACTAAAATGGTGTATTTTATACTCAAGAATGTCCTAAATCAGTCAATAAGATTCCTGTTGTTCTCAAAGCTATTTACTATTTTAAAATTCGGTTATTTCAATAAAGGAAAATATATTTTATGTTTAATTATATAACACTTACTTTTCCTCAACACCTTCCATAAAAATAAACGAAAGGGCATCTGGGCTTTATAGAAATCTTCAAGTCCTTTTAAACTCATAATCGCACTTGGTTTATAAACGGTTGATGACGTAAATGTGACGTCATAATGTAAAGAAATATAGTTAATCTTTAAAGAAACAGATTACATGATTTTCACATGTTCGACACGTGCGCTGTTGTTTTAATTTCGGTACAAATTTATAGTGATTATTCATTTACTTTTCGTTAATTTAAGCACGTTGGATAGCACGCAGTTTTTATTATAGTAGTATTCTCTCTTTATATAATGTATACTTATAATGTCATTTAGAGGTAAAATTTATAAGTTTGTATGTAGGGGGTAATCTTTGGGACAGCTGGTCGGGTTTCCAAAATTATTTCACTATGTTCCTATTAATTATGCTGATTTACGTATTTTAGTCGAACTATCGCTTTAAACGCTTCTGTTTCTAAAACCCTGTTGTATATTTGTTTTAATTCTTAAACTTCAGTTGATAAGGAGGATACCAAAGCCGACAGCCACATAAAGCTTCGATATAGGGCTAAGTGTCATTTTCTTTTTCCAACTAAAGCCTTATTATAACCCCCTGTTACTTAAGACAGCGAAAGGTGCACATTTGGTATAGTATTTCGCTTCAATTTGCACATCCGACCGGGTGGCTTGAACATATGCTTGATGGACAGATGGCATATCAAATATCAGCTGCCGGATTGCCTTTTTAACGATTTTTAGTATGCCTTCATTTGGCTTCTTAGTGACTATTGATTTTAAAATACATTATGCAGTATTTTTTACTGTTTAAACTTGATGAATTGTGTGATGATTAGTTGCTACGTACATGTTCACACCAAACATATAAATTAGACCAAAGACCACCGCATATGGGGCCCTATAGGGCAGATGTTCCGCCGGGGTTGCGGGGTAAGCTCAATGTGACACCGCGACCCCGGCCTAGAGCAGAAGGAACGGTGGGGTTTTTAGTCAGTAAGAGCCCGACACAATGAGGAGAGAGAAGTGATATTCCCTTCACAAAAAAAAACGTCTAACTATTAGAAAATCGACAAAAACCAGCTAAAAATGACCAGAATACACTCAAAAACGTTCTCATTTTACAGTTGCGATGTAAAACGGAATTAACTAATATTACAAAACATCGTATTAACGATAATCTTCACGCATCTGACGCTACAGCTGCGTAGTTACATGTCGACATTGTGTGGTGTTATCTGCCCCAAATATAGAGCTTATCTGTTTTAAAACTCGGACGCGTTCAATAAAAATTGCTTTTAAGTACCATGGAGTTTTTATAACATATCCATGTGTCGGGTTTGAGTTAGAAAGAGCTAAAAAACAAGTCTAAAACCAAAAATAAAATAAAAATTTTCTTATACCCTCAAAAAAAAGTGAAAAAAATATCGCACGAATTAAGATACCATATTTTTATAAAGTTGGAAAAAACAAACTATTATTACACTACATCGCTATTCGTCCTTCACTATCAAGACTTTATAGATGAAAACAACTCTTTTAAACATATTTATCTCGTTTTAAATGCGTCTTCATTTTATACGAGGATTTGTACCTATATGCAGCGTGGCACGTACTCGGAGTATTCATAAGTAATCAGTTAATGGGGGAACAGAAGCATCTTAGTGCTTTGATAAAATTGCGGTCAAGCTTTTCGATGAACATATTTAAGCTATTTATGGCAGCAGTGTGTTTTCATGTCGATGTAACTGGTACGAATATAGATTGAAATGGTACATAAAGGATTTCGTCAGTTTAAAGTCACGTAATTATATAAAGAGGTCCCTTTACCTTAAATATTAGACAGTGATTTTAAATCCTTGGTTAGAATTCTATCAACAAACCAAATAAGACCAAAAAATATTCTTTCTTACATACTTTGTAAATTACGTAAATATGAAAACCCTCCAATCGGGTATAGATACATGAAAAAAAACTCATTGGGAATAGTAACCTTTTTTTTGTTGAACATTGTAGGTAGAAAGATCTACCTACCACTAATTCATATGTATGTTAAAATTAATCTAAATCTCTTTTAGTATGTTCATTATTTCAAAATTACTGATAAAACAAAGTACATTTTATATGCAGCATTAGTTCCCCGCAGTATGCAAGTTAGTAAGCTTAACACAATAAAAATGTATGTGTAGATAAATACATTTGCAAAAGTATTTACAATAAAGAAAATACTAATAAGTGGCAAAAATTAAAAAATCAAAAATTCAATCTAATTGACTCACCAGCAATTTCAATTGAACAGAATTCCTACAAAACTACACAATTAGTGATTATTAGTGCCACTAATTCTTAACTTTAACATAAGGATAACAAAACCTCAAAAACCCTATCAGTAAACCTTTTAGTCATTAAATTAAATGATGCAACAGCCCTAAAATGGTACAAAGGGACTCATATTTTACAGCTGAGTCACAATGAGTCACTACAGGATTACAATCCAAGTATAGTCACACAATTATTAAATACTAGGCATTTTGTGTATAATATTTAAGCTGTATCAGTCATTTAAGCTGATATGAAACCTTGTCTTTTTCTGGCATAAAATACCTTTTATAAGTCAAGTTGAGAAACAGTATAGTTTTATTGAAGTTCTAGCCGACTCGGCTGACTTAGTACCCACTAATATTTTGATCCTGACAATTTAAACCTTTCCCGTATATCTATGAATATTTCAAGACTACAATAAGCCCTATCAGTCCAGTCTTTCTTAAGTTTTAGTGAGACTAATGAACCGCAAACCGTTTTCTGTCGGCAGTCAAGAGTTAATATGGAAAATCTGTACCAATAATTTTATAAAGTTTAAGAGCTTGCTTGCTAAAAGAAACTAAGCTTTGATAACACTGGTTGAAATTGAACAATTCTTCTTATGTTGATGACTTATCAAAGCATGAAGCCTGCTTTCATAAGTGGACTATCCACTAATCAAAGCAGGCTTCATGCTATAAAATCTCTAAAAGCTGATCAGCAGTTGAAAACGCACAGGAGTAACTTGAAATTATAATAAATGATAAAACATCAAAACTCAACTCGGAGGTCTCAGTCGATGTTAAAAACTAGACAATTGTAAAAGAAATAAGTGACGGTGAAATATTCAACTATAAATAAGGTTAAATTAATGTAGAAGAAGCATAGGAAAAACATTATGAAACTTTTAATTATGCAGAATATTGAAATCAACAAACAAGAATATTGTTAGAAAGAAAAGTATGTTCAGCGGGTACATACCTACTACAAAAATAATTTAGATTTGAATATTTTTTATTCTAAGTTAATTTTTTCCAACTTAAAGATTAAAATTTAAATTGTGAAACTGAAATTTGTTGAAGAGTATTTCACCATAGTACAAAATAACGATTATTCGTGGATAGATAAAAATGATTATGCAATTCAAACATGTTTTAACATGTGAATCTAAATTTAGCAGCAGTTTAATCAAACTGAATTAAAAAGAGACTGTTAAAGACACTTAAGGTCTCTAGAATTTTCTAGAATTACATTAAGATACTTAAGCGGGAGATTAGCTCAAAGTCAAAATTAAAATAAGGAATTACGAAAATTTATGAAATAAATAATTTTTAGGTTATAATTTTTTTTGACTAAAAACCTTTAAATATGTTCAAATAACAGTCATTTTCACGCGATACGGTGACACGGGTTACATAAAAACCAAGTCTAGAGTTGAACTAAGTTCTCAGGCAACTTTCTAGACTCAAAAAAAACATTTCGAAATCATTTTAAATCGTCGATTTCACTGCTACGATGGCCTCAACGGGTCGTATATGCAAATAAAACACATGCAAATACGGAATTTCACCATAAAAGACACTGGTTGACCCAAAAAACTGGCTTGGCGACCATAGAGGTTAACTTTAACAAAGGGAAAAATCACACAAAAAGAAAGCGTAATGGCCGCGAATTTGTATGAAATAGCTTAGATAAAGACTTACCCGGATGCTTCCGTGGTGAGTTTTTGTATAAAAACCACCCTATAAGTAATGATTTTTTCGTTTCACACTCTTCACGAACTAAATCAAGAATGCCTGACAGATGACTGATGGTCCAAAGATGGCCGACCAAAAACGACAATTACGTCATTCCGCGGGAAAATTAAAACGACCGTTACACTTCCTTTTTATGCTTTTTGGCACTTTTAATAGCTCAAAATGTGATTATAAATATCACTTACCTCATAAAAATTAAAATTTGTGTGATGAATGGTAATATCCAATGGACTTTTGTTAATACATCAGTAAATTATTCAGTCCGATTCCTCGCGCTGTTGCCAGATAGGGATTGCGTCAGATAATGTATAACGTTCAGAGACACACATTTCAAAACACTGTAGCATTACTTTATGAAATTCACGCACGAAATTATCACAGGTTTAACTTATGATGCTAAATTTCTAACTGGGACACCTCCAGTAAAAGATTTCTCTAATAAGAAAAGTAGGGAAGAAGAACGGCAACGTCGCGTCGTATCACTGTTTGAACAAAGACTTGCTTATTTTAAAATACTTTTTTTATTCTCACGTCGCAATATGTGAGTAAACTGTAACTTAATTATGAAAATAATATGAAAATTGTATAATAAGATACTAAATGACAAAATTAACAGACGCGTATTCGAACAAGGTACAAAAATAACTGACTCGCGTTCAACTTGTTTTTGTTTCGTTTGTTCTCTGGCGTTGTAAACAAAGGGGGTCAGTGTTGCCACTACAATACTAAAACGAAACCTACCAATAGGACTATTTTAAAATTATAATAATTGTAAATTCCATGTTATATTAACAATACTTAGTATTTCAAACAGTAAAATAATTATTGGAATAAATAAATGGAATTATATGAACTTATTTTTTAATTGGTGACCAAAGGTTGCATCGCAATTGCTACCAACAGTTACTTGCGTAAAATGTATTTTGCGTTTTCATAGCTGAATAATGCAAAATAATAAACTATTCTCTTAGTAAAATTATACAAAACATTATCAAACATGTTCCTAATTATTTCTAAGTGTCGCAAGGAGCAGTAAAATGGTACTAGATAAATATTTCTGTGCTACGTGACGGATACCAAGTTGCTTATTAATCAATACTTGTTGAATATTCAAGAAGACTTTTGCTTTTATTTGCGTATCTTACTTTTCATTTAAATACTTGGTGATCTAATTACGATTTCTGAGACGCTTACTAAGCATAGGAATGTGGCAAAGGCCGCTTTTGTGGAAGACTGTTTTAATATATCGGTGTACGTTTTCCGGCTGATAAGGATGATTATTCTCACAAATATTTTACTGACACTAAAAATATGTTATTCTAATAATAAAAGAATTTAGATCAAATAGAACTTATCTTTATTTATTTACTTTTTAAATCTTTGTACATAAAGAAACAAAATAGCTTGAGTAAGGATTAAAGGTAAACATATTATAACTAAATAAAATTGTTATTACGATTTCAGTCTTTTACTGGGGATGTGAGCAAATGCATAGACAAATCGGCTTATAAATGATCTGGGCTGGTTGACAAACGAGTAGACGGAATACCCGATGGTAAGCAATCTGCGACACATGGCCAGAAAAGTTAAGATTACGTTGTTGTCTTTTGGGGATTAGGATTTAGAGAGGAGGGGGAGGGATTACTTCTCTGTTTGTTTTCTCGTGCTTGTGTCATTTTAACAATGACATGAAAAGAAATTTAGATAACTAAAGTTAACAAACTGAAACTAGTTTTGAATATACTAAGCCATATTATAATAATATGACCTGGGACTTTCGTGTAAAGTAAAAAACAAAATACAATGAAAAAATTTTATTTGTTCAAACTTAATTTTATATAATATGCGACAAAATCTTAAAAGATAAAACATAATATGTATGTTAAAAAGAAACTATACTAAACCTATTTTACATAAAAATAATGCTATGCGTATACATTGTTTACACTTGTTAGACATAACCAACATTTGGTAAAAACTTAACATATAACACAAATGCAAACATTTCCAATTAATACAAAAGAGATCGTGTTTTAAAACAGTAAATATAAAGTAACACAACTATCTCCGAATTCTCAAATAAAAACTACCATTTTGGTAGGATCCTCAAAAACATAGAACACAAACGAAAAACAACGTAATTTTTTATACCTTGACCGATTTACTTTATTTTACAGAAATATGACGAAAATGTATAATACGTTGAAAAGTAACATAATATATGTGAATCATCTATCAATGTCATATAATAAATACATGTCGCGATGATTCGATGCTAAAAATAAAAACAACAGCTGTTTTATATCAAAAACATTTTCGTTAAAAATATCGAAGGGCGATACGTTAAAAAGTTGTCAGAGACATTTTAAGCTGACCTTATTATCCAAAAATATAAATGAAAACTAGGGATTGCGTGTGAATAAATCAGTATTACATAATAAATTACCTAACTACATATTTATGTCTTCCGGAGTTAAAAATTGTATGATTCTATGCTTCTTAACTTTATTTCTGTAGGATTTACTTACGTGAAATAATAAGAAACAAAATAAAAAAAAAATGCAAGCTTTTACATCTATTTACGTTAAGTATCTTCTGCATTAATAAAACCTACTAAACGTATGTCTACCCAATATTATAGAATTGTATTTTGGTATTTTAAGTACCGTACATAATTCTTTTGGGTGCAGGCAGTCAATCCAAATGATTTTTTTTTATTTTTGTAAGTAGGTAGTGTTTTTTATTGTTCGAATAAGGTTCGTATGAAAGACTAAATCGATACAATTTGCAGGGAACATCTGAAATTAACAACTAGACGAAACTGGAACGGGCTGTCTATTATTTTTTTTATAATTTGAATGTTTGTGAAGTAGATTCTAGTTAATTTTGTGGCAGAGCAATTTCAACCGATTGAGTCAAAATGTTGTATACATATTATTTAATTTTTAATAACAATTAATACTTAAAAGTATTCTGTTTGACTGACTTTATGCATTAAATTGTCACAATAACTATAACAGTTTGTTTTTGAACAGTTGTTTTAAATTATTTATTATTGCATCATACCCACATATTAAAATGACGAAGTCTGTTGAAATGCACAGTGATTCTATCAAAGGAATACTTTAGAACTTCTGACACAGTGATCAAAGGATAATACTAGAACTTCTTTCACAAAAATATTATTTTTCATTATGCTTGTTACTGCTTGAAATTATTTAAAGTAAAACATATTTTGAGTAAGGGCTAGGCCACCATACTTTGCCACCCCAGCGCTTTAAGCAGCTTGGAATGACTGGGATCTAGATTTTTACCTGTCATAATATGTTGCAAAAAAATAACTTCACAATATTAGTTATACAGAAACTAATGTATAGAACATATGGTTTAGGTAGTTAACTAAAGGTAAACAATACTGGCATGTCTTTTTATATTAAAGAGCTCGTATTAAATACATACACATTATTTAAATTTAGTTTATTAGCTAACAACGATTTAGGTAAATACCTAATTGTAAACATTTTTAAAGACAACTTTTAGATAAAAAAGACAGGCCTAGATTGTCTACATTTACCTCAACTCATCAGCCTATAAAAGCCCACTGCTGAGCAAAGGCCTCTTCTCACACGGATAAGGTTTGTGCATTAATCACCACGCTTGCTCAATGCGATTTCAAACTTACAATTAGAAATTATAAGTCCAGGTTTCCTTATGATGTTTACCTTCTCAGTTTGTCAGTGATGTCTAAATAATCATAGAAAGTACGTATAACTCTAAAAAAAGTCACATTGGTACTTGCCAGGTTTCGAAATCTCATGCATGAGAAGCGGGCTCTTTAACCTTCGGGCCACCACGACTATTGGTATCAATTTACCAATAATTTCTTGAATAATAAGGTAGTTTCCAACTAGTCAAATTCAATACTTTTATTGAAATGTCAAAAACGATACTTTTCTATGAAATTTGTATGAAAAACTGAGTTATGACGTCATAGTATTTATGCGTCAAATAGCTTACTTATTAGTGTATCAATTGATCAATGAATAAAGGTATAGTTATTTTTCAATATTTCATTGTATTGAAACGTCGAATTAATTTATTTTTGACCTAGGAAACTACCCAATTATCATTTTTTTTTTGTTCATTTCCCGGTAAATACGGTTTATAGTTGGAGGGAAAGACCGTGATTAGTGTAGCCTTAGACTAAACAACTACTTTATAACAATCTTAGAAGAAAAATGACATTTAGTCATTAGATTTGACTTTAAAAAACTTCTGAATGGATGTTTGTATCAAATTATCGGGTGATTTCTCTTGTTTTTTATATTTCCTTTTCAATGGTGTAATATCTTTCTCCGGTTTCACAGTCGAACAATTGTCTGGCGAACATTCAAGCACGTACTGTCTATATTTCTTTGACTTCTTAATTTTCTTCGTGTCTTTTATATGAACTTTTAATTCTTCATCGCGCCAACGAATTTTGACCTTAATATTTTTGTCCTTAATAGATATATCTTTACGATTCTTCTTGCGTTTCTTAGATTCAAGTTTTAAAACTATTTCATCGTTTAGTTTTCTTTTGCGGATTTTTTTCGTTGTTTTTTTTATTGATTTTTCTAGTGTAACATTTTCTGTTTTGATCCTCTGTAGACCAACCTCGTTTAGGTATCTATCTTTAAAACTTTCGACATCTATATCAACGTTTTGGCTTTCTAAGACCTCTTTGTTGTAAGGACTGAATTTGAAAGCGCATTTCTGGCTTCTCTCTGGCGATTTCAAACCTAAACTCTTTATAAAATCCTCATTTTCATTATTTTCTATTTTAATCACATCAACATTTACCATTTCATGTTCCGCTGAGATTTCTAAACTGGAATTCTTTAGTATGTCAACTGTTTTCAGTTTATTCGGTGATTTGAATGTTATTTCTAAGTTTTTATTGTATTCTGTAGCCAAATCCACGTCGGGACGTTTTTTTGGAGTTGTGAATGGGCTTTCTGATTTTATTTCCTGCTTAATGGGAGTCTTAGTGTTTTCTTTGTCTGATATTGATGGTGGTGTATTCTGGAACAAATACGTATGATTTTAGTAATGTTGTTTGCAGAATTTACATACAATTAGGCTTATATTTTTATTTAATGTTAGGTGAATAGATTGCTTTGGGATAGGGCGACAAATGAGCGGACAAAATCACTTGAGGGTAAGCAAGCAACACCGACCATAGATATTTGAGAAGTGATTAGTGCGTTGCAGTCCTTTTGGGGATGTAAGGAGACCCTCGGTAACCTTACTCTAAGACAAATCACAACGCAATAATAGATGGCCATACGTGCAACGTCTATAGGAACTTTTACATGTGAACATTAGCTCATGACGATACCTAAGTACGTGTGTCGCCTGGACAGTCACCGCTACCATCAGTTGACTGGACTATCTCTTTACATGAGCTGCTGTTACCTACCTCCATTATTTCAATAACTTCTGGTGTTGTATCGTATTTCTTCGGCGAATTCCATTGTATTACTGGATCTTTTTGTTTCGGTTCTTTGAGTAAATTGTCGAAGACTTCGTTCAGGATGTCACTGTAAAAAATAAATATTATTATTATTTTTGTATGGTCGTTTCCGTTCGCGGGATCACAGGATTCCGGACCTTTGGAAGGCGTACGCGGGGCCGAAGCCGCAAGCAGAGGACCCGTTGAACAACTTTAATATAAGTGAAATGGGACATCAGCCGGCAATTATCCCTGTATGTACTATGAAAGAGCACCCAAGGACAATCCCCGGTTAATGCAGGACTATTGTGAAATGTGGTAATAATTCAACGAGATATTGGTATGGGTTGCTGTGGACTGGTGGATATGATAACTATGGAACTTATTATTATTAATATGAATATAGTACATGGTTGCGGCGAGATTTAGTTATTAATTTACGCGACCCGCCCCGGCTTGCAGGGTGCAACGCTGATACAAAATTTATCAACTATTTAATGGATGTTTTTATACATACTTTTTTTATGAGATCAACCGTATTACCTTATGATTAGAAATCGCTGCCAATGGATACTAGTTATACCAACAAAGGAGTCACAACAAGTGCATTGCCGGCCTCTTCTGTATTACAAACCCTTATCCTAAGCTGTAGATAAGGTGTTTGAAGATAGGGCCATTTTTTTTAGTCAGGGAAATTTATCAAATGGCTTTTCCTGCCCAGGGAAATCCGAGATAAGGAGTGTCAGACTCTTACTGACTAAAAACCCCCGTTCCTTCGCCTGCATTAGGCGCTGGGATGATGGGGCCATGGGGGGAAGGATTGGGCCTCCAGTAACCTCACTCACACGGCGAAACACAACTTAAGTGTAGGTCGAGCCAACCTATTCGGGCCTTAGCATGGCTCTCCCACATCTAATAATTACAACAATACTTCGTCATCAGCCTATAAGTGCCCAATGTTGAGCAAATGCCTCTTCTCATACGGAGAAAGTTAGAGCATTAATCACCACGCTTGCTCAATGCTGGTTATCGATTTCAAACTTAGAATTAGAAATTATAAGTCCAGGTTTCCTCACGATGTTTACGTTCACCGTAGGTCAGTGGTGTCTAAATAATCGTAGAAAGTACATATAACTCGGAAAAAGTCACATTGGTACTTGCCAGGTTTCGGACCGGGCTCCTTAACCTCCGGGCCACAATTTTTTAACAATACATACTTACTTAACAATTTTCCGTTTCTCTCTCAAAGGTTTTGGTTTCTTAAACTTCTTTCTTAAACCCTCGATGGTTTTCTCATCAAGAATAATATTTTTCGCGCCCAAATTCTTCATTTTGACTCTCAGTGATTCTTCCAACAATTTCATTGGCGATTCATATTTGTATTCGAAAGTGTCCTTATCGATTTTTTTCGGCGATTCTTTGTCTGCATGCGTCGCCGTGTTTTGTTTATGAATATTTTCTAGAATGTGTGTTTCTTGTATTTTCGGTGGTTTAATATTTAGTTCTTGACGAGCTAAAGCCGTGTTCGTTTGGGCTGCAAATAAAAGAAATAGGTTAATTTTTTTTATTAATAAAACTAGCTAGCCTGCGCCTCCGTTCGCGTGGAATAGTGACTTCCTGCAGATTTTTGGTATAAAAACTATCCTATGTCCTTTCTCGAGTTCCAAACTATGTCTGTAAGTACCAAATTTGACAGAAATCGGTTCAGTAGTTTTGACGTGAAGAAAACAAAGACTGACAGACAGAGTTACTTTCGCATTTATAATATTAGTTCGGATTTGGATAATGTAGGACTTTTTTAAATTTATTAATAACAACGACTTACTCACACGTGAATTAACACAGAAAAGCTATACTAGTTTCAAGTCATCAAGTCACAGGCGTTAGGTATTTTCAATGATAAATAAGTTTCTTCATGTTTATGTTTAAGAGCTCCGGTTGTAGCTCGAAACTAATCAAGTTGATGCGATATTACCAGAATTAATACCAATGACTGAGATGCAAGATAGTTCTAGCATTGTGTGGATTACGGTTGGGCAGATTTTGTGATTGGGGAGGGGTTAGGAGGCGAAGAAGGATCGGGCCCCCGATCGATCCGACACATTCGTGCCAAAGTATGGCTCTCCCACACTAGAAAAAAACACGTGTTTTTTTGTTTATTAAAATTTCAGATTAAAACTTACGTTCACATTTGACTTCTTGCTTGATTTCCATATCAGCTGAAGACGAGCACGACGGCCTGAAAAAATAGAAAAAAAAGAAATTAGGATCATGTGGAGTCCATATCGAAAATGAATTTAACTAGCGAACCGCCCCCTTTTTTTGTGAAGGGAAAAATCATCAAATGACTTCTCCCGCCCATTAGTGTCAGACTCTTACTGACTAAAAACCCCGTCGTTCCTTCTCCTGCTTTAGGCTGAGGTCGCGGTGCCTCATTGCGCTTACCCCGCAACCCCGGCCGAACATCAGCCCTATAGGGCCCCGTCTGTGGTGGTCTATTGGCTCTTTGAGACGACAAACAAGACGCCTGCAACGCACTTGTAGTAACTTCTTTGGTATTAAGAGTGTCGTTGGGCGGCGCTGATTGCTTACCAACCAACTTGACATAAATAAAATATTTTTTAACAAAAAAAAACCGACTTCAAAAAGTAAACTAAAAGCGAAAAATAAATTTACTTTGTTCAAAGTAAATACATATTTTCATTTAGTTAAATAGAAAATAATATTTAATAACTATTTTATAATCTTAAAGTCGGTGCCAAGTAAAACTATAACAGTGTAAAGATATTACTTACATACCTCTTGCTAATTTGATGATTAGTAGGTACCGATCAATATATTTTTCTAATACTGTTGTTGTTTGGTATGTAGCATTTACTTGGCACCGACTTCAAAAAACATATATACGGTCGAATTGAGAACCTCCTCCTTTTTGGAAGTCGGTTAAATAGTGGCGAACCGCTTCGTGCGTGTAGGTGATGGGATATATACCATGAAGCAATGACGTTTTTTATGTAATGGACTGGCAAACGAGCACACCTATTAAGTGGTGATAAGCGATCAGCGCCGCCCATGGACACCCGCAACTACATAGGACCTACTTACTACCTAGAGATATGGAAATTTAGGGATTGGGAGAGGGGGAGAATTGGGCCTCCGGTAACTCCTGGCTAACAAGGGAAAACACAACACTGTGGTTATTTTACACCGGTTTTCTGTGAGGCAGTAGTATCATTCCGGTCGAGCCGACCCGTTTGTGCCGAAGCATGGCGCTCCTACACGTTTTGCCGACTCTCTGTTGCAAACTTCACAACTATGACTGCACGGTTGGCGCGGCGGCTGGGCAACTGGCTTGTATATGGAATTGTATGTTTGTAAACGCACCCACGACACAGGAGAAAATCGTAGTGTGGGGCAAAGTTTATAAAAAAAATATTATTAAAAAAACAAAATACCCGACTGCACACTAAAAAAAGAGTAAAACAAGCCCCACAATACAAATTTACTGAATATAATTTATAAATGTTGATGGAAAGCATCGCAGGCGGGGACCAACAGAGGCTTATTTATAGTCATTTCTGTTGTGCACCATTTAGCAGAATTTTCGTTGGTGGCGGTCAAGATGGTCCCCGCCTGCGATGCTTTCCATCAACATTTATAAATTATATTCAGTAAATTTGTATTGTGGGGCTTGTTTTACTCTTTTTTTAGTGTGCAGTCGGGTATTTTGTTTTTTTAATAATATTTTTTTTATTTATAACTTTTTAGCTGTTTTTATTTAACGAAAATGTTGTAGATGTAGAAGACTATGTATATGTAAGTACAATTTTAAATTATTTCGACGTATTAACATGTTCCCGTGGGAATTTTGAGAAAAAACGTATCCTATATTAATTACTCCCGTGATTGAAATGAATCTAATGATACCGCATACATATTTTTTAAAGGGAAATTTAGAAAAAATATTATTATGTCTTTATCCCGTGGGACTTTTAGGATAAAATGTATCCTATGACACTCCCGTAATCAAGACAAATCTAACGATACCTCATACATCAAAATCCATCAAGCCGTTTAGGCTACAGGAGGTCACAAAGGAAAAGACATACATACATACTTACATACACTCAAAAAACATTACCCTCCTTCTTTGGCAGTCGGGTAAAAAAAACAAAACTTACATGTTTTGCGAAGTGTTCCTTTTAGTGCGACGTAAAGACATACGGGACGGCATCACGGGGCCGCGACGGCTGCGAGACGATGTCTGCCGTTGTTCTTGCGATATCACTGTAATAAAGGGAGAATAAAATAAAATAAAAAATCTTATTAAGCAATCGGTCAGAAAAATGATTATAAATAATTATAAATTTAAAAAAAATTAGAAAACTTCCGACAAAATATCTAATATTCCTTTAAAAAGTAATAATTAAAAGAACGTGGCGTTGGGGACCGATCCTTCTATATCATTTTCTCTTGATTAAATCATCAACATTTCCTTTCACTGCGCTTTCATTTGAGACCCCACTCGAGTATATTTGCAGACCTTCGGTTACCCTTCCCCACTTACTCCCCTACAACTTCTAAACGGCTCAACCGATTTTCGTCAAACATGTCTAAGAACACTCGCACGTAAGTCACTTTTAATACAAAAAAAAAAAAAACTAAATTGAAATAGCTTCACCCGTTCAGGCTCTAGGATGCCACAGACAGACAGACAGACACGTCAAACTTATAACACCCCTCTTTTTGCGTCGGGGGTTAAAAATATCTTCTATCGGTATAGGTGGTTAACTAAAGGTAAACAATTGTTTTATCATTACTAATTAGTCATAATTCTCTCCTATGCTATCCAACTCGTCGTCATCATCGTCGCAAGGGAGAGAGGATGGTGACAGAAGGCTGGACCTCAAGAACTCTCATCTCGATCCTCAAATAGTCAAATTGTTACACGTTCAGGTCGAATTGTAAAGCCTACAAGAAAGCGAATAGAAGAAATATATTAAGAATAATTTGTAATCTAATTAAATAAACATAAGTAACATAAGTCTCATTTGTCAAGGGTTAATTTAAACTTAACAAGGCGGATGATGTATAATCTCTTATTACTCAAACTAATTATTGTCACAGTAGAAATGTCAATGTCAGTGTCATCCTTTAGTATATAAATAAGGTGGCCGAGAGAGTGTCGGCCATTGACAATGTAACTTTGATGCAGTGAGTAGTAGTTCATATGTCGTAGTTCATTTGGCGAACTTTATAGTGCGTAGTTCATTTAGCGTAGCTTATAGTGCGTAGTTCATTTGGCGAAGTTTATGGTGCGTAGTTCATTTGGCGTAGTTGATATGGCGTAGTTTGTTACGCGTAGTTCAAATGGAGTAGTTCATTTAGCGTAGTTCATATGGCGTAGTTCATTTGGCGTAGTTCACATGGCGTAGTTTATAGTACGTAGTTCATTTGGCGTAGTTCGTTACGCGTAGTTTATATAGTGTAGTTCAAATGGCGTTGTTCATTTAGCGTAGTTCATTTGATGTAGTTTATAGTGCTTAGTGCACATGGCGTAGTTCATACGTCGTAGTTCATTTGGCGTAGTTCATATGTCGTAGTTAATATGACGTAGTTCGTAGTTTATTAAGCGTAGTGCATATGGCGTAGTACGTTACGCGTTATGTATTAAGCTTAGTTTATAATGCGTAGCTTATAGTGCGGAGTTCATTTGACGAAGCTTATAGTGTGTGTGTGTTAAATAGCATAGTTTATAGTACGTAGTTCATTTGGCGTAGTCCATACGGCGTAGTGCACATAGCGTAGTCCATAAGATGTAGTTTTCATGGCGTAGTCCATACGGCGTAGTTCTCATGGCGTAGTTCATACGGCATAATTCTCATGGCGTAGTCCATACGGCGTAGTTCATACGGCGTAGTTCACATGGCGTATTCCACATGGCGTAATCCATTTGGCGTAGTTCATATGTCGTAGTTAACATGACGTAGTTCGTAGTTCATTAAGCGTAGTGCATATGGCGTAGTACGTTACGCGTCATGTATTAAGCGTAGTTTATAATGCGTAGCTTATAGTGCGTAATTCATTTAACGAAGCTTATAGTGCGTAGTTTGTTTAGCGTAGTTCACATGGCGTAGTCTACATGGCGTAGTCTACATGTCGTAGTCCATTTAGCGTAGTCCATCTGGCGTAGTTCATATGTCGTAGTTAACATGACGTAGTTCGTAGTTTATTAAGTCGTTTACGTTGCGCGTCATGTAGTAAGCGTAAGCGTAGTTTATAATGTGTAGCTTATAGTGCGTAGTTCATTTAACGAAGCTTATAGTGCGTCGTTCATATAGCGTAGTTCATTTGGCGTAGGTCATATGGCGTAATGGGTACGCGTAGTTCATTTAGCGTAGTTCACATGGCATAATTTATAGTCCGTAGGTTAAATAGCATAGTTTAAAGTACGTAGTGCATTTGGCGTAGTTCGTAACGCGTAGAACCATAGCGAAGTTCATTCAGCGTAGTCCACATGGCGTAGTCCATATGGCGTCGTTCACATGGCGTAGTCTACATGGCGTAGTCTACATGTCGTAGTCCATTTAGCGTAGTTCACATGGCGTAGTCCATCTGGCGTTATTCATATGTCGTAGTTAACATGACGTAGTTCGTAGTTTATTAAGTCGTTTACGTTACGCGTCATGTAGTAAGCGTAAGCGTAGTTTATAATGCGTAGTAGGGAATGCAACCCGGTTTTACCGAAATTCGAAAACCCGGGTTTTTGTGATATTTTAAACGATAAAAAAACTCGATTTTTTTAGCCACGTTTCCGGTTTTTCGGTGTTTTCGGTTTTTTTTAATGGCAACACTATAGCACTGTCAAAGTGACATTTACGCTCTCAAGAAAAAGACAACTGAAGACTAGGCTGCATGGGCTCACGCTCTTTGCCTTCCCTTGCATGGGAGAATCTTAAAGAAAAAAGGGATATTTGTTTAGGTATTATTCTTCTCTGTGGTTTGTTTCTATAATTTAATAAGTTTTAGCTATTTTCGAAGTAAAAAATATAGAATTAAAGTAAATTTATCGTACAATTTCAAGTGTTCATCGTGCAGTACAGTTTTTTCTGTTATTTAAATATTATTGTAGGTAGATGCACTAGAGTACAGACAGTTCCTATAAATACTTTAAAAAGTAAAATATTCTTTAAGCAATGTTTAATGATTTGTTATTTTCATTTTCAGTATCTTAGCTGTAGCTGTTCTATCAACATGATAATTATGTTTATTCAGTGAATTACTTGTCTAAAGTTGATTATTGTAAGACTGATTGTTAACGATTTCATAGTTTTCGTAATAAATAAATTAAGTTATTTTCCTTTGATCACGATTTTTTATTCGTTTCCATGTAGTTTATATAAAAAAGTACTTACAAAAAAAAACTCGTTTTAAACCCGATTTCACCGAAAACCGGGTTTTTTAAAATAGAACTCGAAAATAAACCCGGTTTTAAATTTTGGCGGGTTTTGCATTCCCTAATGCGTAGCTTATAGTGCGTAGTTCATTTAACGAAGCTTATAGTGCGTCGTTCATATTTGGCGTAGGTCATATGGCGTAAATGGGTACGCGTAGTTCAAATAAGCGTAGTTCAAATAGCGTAGTTCATTTAGCGTAGTTCACATGGCATAATTTATAGTGCGTAGGTTAAATAGCATAGTTTAAAGTACGTAGTTCGTAACGCGTAGAACCATAGCGTAGTTCATTTAGCGCTGTTCACATGTCGTAGTCCAAATGGCGTAGTCCACATGGCGTAGTCCAAATGGCGTAGTCCATTTAGCGTAGTTTACATGGCGTAGTTCATTTGGCGTAGTTTACATGGCGTAGTTCATTTGGCGTAGTCCACATGGCGTAGTTCATTTAGCGTAGTCCACATGAAGTAGTCCATACGGAGTAGTCCACATGGCGTAGTCCAAATGGCGTAGTCCATTTAGCGTAGTTTACATGGCGTAGTTCATTTGGCGTAGTCCACATGGCGTAGTTCATTTAGCGTAGTCCATACGGAGTAGTCCACATGGCGTAGTTCACATAGCGTAGTCCATACGGCGTAGTCCATTTAGCGTAGTTTACATGGCGTAGTCCATTTAGCGTAGTCCACATGGCGTAGTCCATTTAGCGTAGTCCATACGGCGTAGTCCGTACAGCGTAGTCCATTTAGCGTAGTTTACATGGCGTAGCCCATACGGCGTAGTCCACATGGCGTAGTCCATACGGAGTAGTCCACATGGCGTAGTTCACATGGCGTAGTTCACATGGCGTAGGTCATTTAGCGTAGTTTAAATGGCGTAGTTCATTTGGCGTAGTCCACATGGCGTAGTCCATACGGCGTAGTCCATACGGCGTAGTTTACATGGCGTAGTTCATTTAGCGTAGTCCACATGGCGTAGTTCACATTGCGTAGTTTCATTTAGCGTAGTCCACATGGTGTAGTCCATTTGGCGTAGTCCACATGGCGTAGTCCAAACGGCGTAGTTTACATGGCGTAGTCCATTTAGCTTAGTTTACATGGCGTAGTTCATTTGGCGTAGTTTACATGGCGTAGTTCATTTGGCGTAGTCCACATGGCGTAGTTCATTTAGCGTAGTCCACATGAAGTAGTCCATACGGAGTAGTCCACATGGCGTAGTCCAAATGGCGTAGTCCACATGGCGTAGTTCATTTAGCGTAGTCCACATGAAGTAGTCCATACGGAGTAGTCCACATGGCGTAGTTCACATGGCGTAGTCCATACGGCGTAGTCCATACGGCGTAGTCCATTTAGCGTAGTTTACATGGCGTAGTCCATTTAGCGTAGTCCATACGGCGTAGTCCGTACAGCGTAGTCCATTTAGCGTAGTTTACATGGCGTAGCCCATACGGCGTAGTCCACATGGCGTAGTCCATACGGAGTAGTCCACATGGCGTAGTTCACATGGCGTAGGTCATTTAGCGTAGTTTACATTGCGTAGTTCATTTGGCGTAGTCCACATGGCGTAGTCCGTACGGCGTAGTCCGTACGGCGTAGTCCATTTAGCGTAGTCCACATGGCGTAGTTCATTTAGCGTAGTCCATACGGCGTAGTCCATTTAGCGTAGTTTACATGGCGTAGTCCATACGGCGTAGTCCATTTAGCGTAGTCCACATGGCCTAGTTCACATGGCGTAGTCTACATGGCTTAGTCCATTTAGCGTAGTTTACATGGCGTAGTTCTCACGGCGTAGTTCATTTAGCGTAGTTCACATGGCGTAGTCCATACAGCGTAGTCCAAA